ACTACAGTCCAGGTTTAGTCATCATGTCTTCCCCTTCCACATTCTCAGCATGGGGACAAAGCTCAAAATCAAACATATGTATGTATAGTGTTTGCAGTATATTTGTACCTTTATATAATTAAATTAATGGAGCTTTAAAATATTTTATAGTAGTTGGACTCAAAACAGGATCAGCTCTCGTTTTCACACTTGGGAGTGTGGCTATCTAAAATGGAGTCAATGAACTTTCCCCAGTACTGTTCAGAAGGCATTACGGGTCCATTTATTTTTACTTCCCTCCCCCCATTATTTGATAGTTCTTTTAAGAGTTGTGAGTTTTACTTGGTTCCTTTAGATCAGAAGGAAAAGTTACTGTAGGAACTGAGACGCTGCAGTGACTCTGGCTTTGAACTCACCAGGTCTAAAAGCCTGCAAGAACATTTTCTCTTTCAGCTTTCTAGCTAGCTCATAGAGCTGGCTGATAAAGGGGTATGTTAAATTGTCCTGAAGGACAGGTGGAAAGCTAGGCAGTACAGTCTGAACTCACAATGGAATTGATATATATATACTTAGTTTAATCATATTAAAATTTAAATGTTAGACTTTAGAGTAGATTTAAAAAAAAAAAAACAACAACAAAACAAGTCGTTAAAGTTTATTTCACTTCAGCTTGCGGGGGTCCTGAGCTCCTGCAAATGCTGCAGCTCCATCTAGTGGCACTGGAGCCAGTTGTCAGGGTGGAGGCAAATCTGTTAGAAATGCTAATAACGAAGACAAATACTAGGATTAAAATTCTTTATTTTCAGTAAAATTCTTTAATATTTCCCTTCGGTTATCACAGAGTCTACTCTAACACTGTCTGGAATGAAACAATATTTAAATTACACTAGTTTAGAGAGATTAGTATATAAAACTCCATCCAGTCTATTTCTCTTTCTTTGGTATTTTTATTGCCTGAATAATCATGGTCTTACAGATGTATTCCTATTTCTAATAAAAGAAAGTAGTATGTTTAAAACTATGTAAGTATATATAACCATGTGGTAGTTGTAAAAGTAGCTTTGATCCAAATTTCTTAAAACACTTGGTAAACATTTACTATGCATCAAAACATTAAAATTTGTTTGCTCTATCCACTCATCAATCCATCTGTCCATCCACCCATCCATCGTGTATAGAGATTGTGCACGTGTTTATATAGACAGTAGACCTTATTCTGCTCTCAATTACATTATAACTTAATTTATTTAAGTGTAGTTACTCTCAACTCTCACTGGTCTGACATGAAAATTAGTGTCTTGTGTATCTGTGTATAGAGCAAATATATAGTCACATAGTGTGATGAACATATGTTGTAATGTGATCTTAATGTAAGGTTGGTTCTTTGGGGTTCTCACCTCATCCAGATGGGAACTGACATTCAGTGTTTTACACCATTACAACTGTGTTTAGTTTTTCAACACATCTTGCTCCTGCCTTTGATCTAATAAAAAAATAAACATTCTTGATTTGATTTGCTCAGCTGCTGTCTGAGCCACAAAACCTAGATTTCATCTTGTGTCCTGAACTCGACTCCCATGCTGCTTGTATAAATCTGTTGAATTCAATAAATGTATTTAGCCTTATTAAGATTCAGGAAAGCAAATATTATCCTCCAGTGATGCAGCAGATAACAGGAGTTAATAACAAGTATGTGATAAAGATCACAGGATTCTCTGTAAACAAGATGCTGCATTGCACAGAGAGCATCTTGTCTGCATATGTTTCGTAAGTAACTAGGCATCCTCATGGGCTTCTTTAGTTATTTTAGAAAGTTGTGTAAACAGTATTATCTACTTAATGCCCCAAATGATATAATAATTGATATGGAAATGGGGCAAAGCTCAATAGATCATAATACAACTCTCCATGGACTCTTGGAGATGATCTGCCCAGATTTTATTTAAATTTTCTTCTAGCTTGTACGTATGGAGCCTGTGGTTTGTTACACATGCTAGGCGGATGTTGGTTGGATAATATTTTCTTTTTTTGACCTTTTTTTCTGGAAAAAAAATTAAATGTTAATTTATACTTGTTATCTGTTGTAGGTATACTTCAGAGGTGTCAGTGACAATGTGAAGAGTAAGATCATACTGAAAAGCTCTGATACATTGTGTGCTGTTGTTGAGAAAAATCGATAATAACAGTTTGCTAACATATATGGTACCCTGTAGTGGCTGTGTGATTCTTCTTGTTTAGACTACAAGAGCAGTGGAAATTAAAAACAGAGTTCTAAGAAATTCTTAAAACTCAAAAAATGTATTTGAAAATATTTTGCTGTTCCTTCTTGTGGAAAATGATATTGAAGCCTGGAGATTTTTTTATGTATTCTAAAAATCTCTTATGCAAGGCTTTCTGCTTTGTTATTTTTACAAAGTAGTGGTTAAAATATTTTCCCTATTCAACCACTTACTAGTTCTTCAAACATATTAATTAGTCAGACTTACTCAACTGTTTTCTCTTCCATAGACAACACATGCAATTGTCTCAGGTGTATGATACCAGGCAAAAATTAAGCTGTGTTGCAGTTGTCCATGCAAGATGAACTTAAGAACATGCAACCATGACATGTCTCTGTTTTGCACGCTGTGATGCCAGTTGCACTTAACGATTTCTCTGGACAGTTAGTATGGTCTCCAGATCACTGTATTAAACTTTGGGAAAAATCACTTATTTGTACCACAATTCCCCCAGCTGTAAAATGGGGAAAATGATACATTAGAATGTACTGATAAAATATAAGTAAAGCATAGCTTTATAGAAGAGGGCAAAGCAATATTGATATTAAAAAGAAATCTGAGATTTGATTAGACTTGATCAAGGTCACTCAGTGGGCTTGTGATGTTGCCAAGAGCAAGGCTTGGGTCTCCGGACATTCTGTCTGTTGACTCCAGCTGCCTTCCAGGTACAGAGAATGGCTGATGAATGTTAATAATGCAAACAGGACAAATGCCAGCAACTGTTCATTTCCATTTATTTTATTAAACTGAAGAATTTTTTTGTAAAAAGCACATATAGTATTGGGAGGCAGGAAATGGATGAAATGGGTTTATTTATAAAACAGGATTTTATCACTCAAATATTGTACAGTAATGAAGAGTGGAAGTAAAATGGCTGTCTGGAAGCAGGAACCACCTGCTTGCTTAATTTATGTTCCATTCTTGCATATGTGGTAGTGCCAGAGTTTTCTTCTTCCAAAATAGCTTCACTGATGCAGTGCTATTCGCTTTTGCTGGCCTGGCACCTGGAGAGGCAGGATGTGTACTCTGGGGACAGCATGCAAACCCCATGGAAAGCGCACGTGGATTTTATTCATTGTTTCTCCAATGGCTTCTTAACAAGAGTTAAGGAAGGCCAATAGATAAGCAAGACAGGTAGATGTGGATGAAAATGTTAGCTATTTCCTTTTTGAGCCATTCTTAAAACATTATTCAGAGGAAAAACAAGACAAGGTAGCAGGTGGAGAACACCCATTTAATTTTTATACATCCTGTGAAAAAGCCAGGACAGATTCAATTAATGAATGGGGTCTCTGCAGCCGCTACTGTATCCCTGCACTGAGCAATGTTAATGGGGAAAGAGACTAATCATCTCCGACTCCCTGCAGGAAATCTGCCCTACCTGGCTACACGGTTTTAACTGTGGAAGATAAAGTTGCATGTATAGGCAGAGGGAACCCGGTCCTCGCAGGCTGTCGTTCCAAGTGGAAGATAGCAGGGTCAGTATGGGAGCAGGAATGCCATTACCTTTCAGTTTAGTAACAGGTAACTGCTGAATACTCACTTTGCTGTAAAGATCAAGTGAAAAAGAATATGCAGAAGTTGACTTTTGAAATGTGAGTAAATGAAAGCAGAATTCTTTTGGCAGGTCCAGCCAGTCCCTGAGAGTACACAGCTAAGAAATCAGAACTGGCTGCTTGCCTATGGACCAGATGAGCCAGTAAGGTCTCACTACAGTCCAATGCAATAAATGGATACTTTGTAACTTCTCTAGTGTATAAGAAAAGTAAGGACTGATTCTAAAATAAAACCTTATTCTTAAGAAAGTGGGCAATCAACAGTAAGCAGGCAGGTTTGGCAACTTACTGCCTCTAAGTTCTCTTCCATTTCAAGATATCTTCAAGAAATGAAATAGACTTGCATAAATCAAAATTGCCTCCATCCCAATGCACATTTCTAAGTTAATTGTTGGAGTTAACTTTTTTGGTCAAGTTTCACAGCTTTTCTGTTCAGTGAGTACTGAAAACCTAAATGAGGAAACTTTACTGGGGAAGAACTGGGTGAGGAAATAGGGGCACAGAGGTTAAGTTACTTGTGCAAAGTTCAGACCAAATCTGTGGCAGAGCTCCAGGTGAAATCCGGGCCCTGTGCGTCCTCATTCACTGCCATCACCATACTAGCTTTCTCTTTCCAAGGACTTTCAATGTCATCTGTGAAAAGATGAATAAATCCGAAGGCCACAGGCTCTGCATTTGTAGGAAGGCAATACATACATGATTTGCTTGAGGGAGGTTGAATTGGTGGGGGAGATTTGAATTTTGCTGTATTCTAATAATAATGAAATCAGAAACTGATTTTATGAACACTACACTTGACCCTTTGATGGCACATGCTGTAGGCTCTGCAGATTCATATGTGAAGTGCCTTGGCTGGCAGTCTCAATGCAGCAGAAATTGAAATCAGCCCTTTGAGTGAGGCAGATGATATGTTCCTCCTGGGTAGCTCTGAAGACGTTGTGGCTGACTGATTGCCGCAGATGCCCCACTGAGAAGGCTCTCCTTTAAAGAAGTTCAGTGTGGGGGAATTACCCAACAGACAACATTGTTCTTTCTTCACACCATTCCTGTATTTATTGAGTTCATTTCCCCCCATTTTTCAAGGACACTGACCTCTGCCTTCTGGTGGATAGGGACAAAGTGACCTATTCCAGGACCATTTTGCTGACAAAACTCTGGAATACCTCTGCTATATATATAAACATTATATGAAAAGCATTCTCAGAAAAAAATTGGCTTACACCAACAAAACAGTGGGGGGGTTTGGCACTGTTTATTTTAGTGCCTTTAGAATTATGTACATTTTTCTCTTGGCCAAATTGCACCTCCTCATATTCCTAATGTGCACTGCCATGCCAACAAAAATTGGTTAGCTTTGGATTAGTTAATCCTTCAGAAACGGAAAGTTGTAGCATTACTACAAGTAAAGGTTAAGTAAGATCTCTCCGATGTGCTGCTTTTCTGCTACTCATCCTTGCTGGACAGCAAGTACTTGTGGACCCTCTAATCTTGTAGTCAGCTGTAAGATGAGGGGTCTGTGGACACAATTAGCTACTCAGGTACAGTCCCATAGGAACCTGAGGAGAATCCAAGGCAGCTGTGCCTGGGACAATGCACACAATGATGGGAGGGGTCAAAGGGGGGAAATTATTTTTCCCTATCCTTTTGGTCTTTCACCACAAACTGCTGTGGAGATATAGCAGTGTGATGGCCACGCTTCCTTTCTGCGTTAAGTTCAAGTCACCTGAGTGTGATGCAGACCCCAGACATGCTTTCTTCTTCACCACTTTGTTACCGATTCAGACATGATCCTCTAAGAAGGTGTTACCTTTGATCCATTTTCACTGTCCTGCAATATGGTAAGTTGTGGGAAGATTAGTTCTTAACTCTCTTAATTAATTACTCTTAATTCTCTTACTTCTGGTATAACTAGAAAAAATAATAATTGTCAAATAACAAAAATCCACATATTTTGTGTTTAATGCCTAGCTGTTAATAGCTACTTAAAATATTAACTTTACACCCTAGACACTCCTATTATTCTGTATTTTTTCCAAGCCATCCTTCTTGTAACAATGCACAGCGATGTTTTTCAGGTTCAGTGCACTTTCAATTAGCTTATTCTTTTATGTGTCTGGGAGGTAAGTTAATACAGTTATTCCTAATTTATAGACAGTGTCATTATGGTGCATGTAGAATCTGTACCTGGAGTACAGGCCTGAAGGTACTTGGTGGACTATGTTCAGCGGAGAACAATGACCAATGCTAGCATAACATGTTAATTACAATATTTATGAGAATTAATTTACCAGATTATTAAAATAAGTGTATGGGAGAATAGAGTTGAGGGAAATTACAGAAGCAGGTAAATAGAGACTTTTTCAGCTCTTAGGAAGCTTTCACAGGAGTGTTAGGGCCAAGAAAAGTTTAGTATTTGTATATGTGGGTTGGATCCCTGAAAGAATCAACTATAATATTGCAGTGCCACCAAGAAGATATTTGTGTTGTGTACCAGGCTGTAAAACTAAGGCAATGCCCAATTTACATAAACCTCTGAAAGGCAACAGGGAAGCACATGCTTAACACAGACTGTCTGTTAACCATGTGTCTCACAGCTTGATAATCAGAATTAAATGCTAGCATTATATTAACCAGATGTTCTCCCCAACAGCACCCTTCTGTGGTTCCTTTCCATTATGTATATAGTGCACATGGTATGAATTTTCTACCCCAGTCAGAGCTGTACTTAAAGATCACCCCAAACAAGAATGTGCCTTCAATGCAAGTCATAGAACTGTAGCAGCTACAAAAGGGAAATGAAGCATATTCCCTCATCTCTGATGGAATGATCATCACTTGTATTTTTTGCTCCCACCAAAGCAGATTGTAAACCTTCTGCCCAGGTCCTCCTGCCCACAGCAGCTGACTTCAGCGGGAACAGGACCAATCCTGTCATTCTCAGAAATGGCAAAGCACTGTTTGACCAGGCTTCAGCTGGAGGAGTAAAAAACTACATTCAGTGACTGAAGATGCATCCTTTAGATTGCATTGACTGGGAAGATATTTCTCTTCTCGAAAGGAAGTAGTTCCCACATGAACCAGCAATGCCTCTGATTCTGCAGATTCTTAAGTGCTTTATTCATTGTATTTTCCTATTCTGACTTTTCACACAAAATAGGCTATGTTCAAAGTAAGCAAATCATAAATAATTTTTTGTTGCAAATTTCCTTCCAAAAACCTTAATAAGCTTAGGTACTCCTCATATCTGTAGAGCAAATATAATATTTTCCAACATAAATGTTAATGTCCCTTTCGAACATGGAAGATACTTAATTTTTTTCTGTTAATATAAAGTTATGTTAGCCAAATAGGTAATTTCCAGTTCTTACTCTTTCAAGAGCTTGTCTTTGGGAAAAGGAGCTGACAGCTTTTCTCTTTAATGAAGTTGTTTCCTGTGTTCATTGTACATACTCCCGAACTGCAAGTTCTTTCAAGGTAAAAACCCGTACAGGATCTTTTTTTGCCTTCCATTCTTCCAGTTTTTCTTGCAAAGACAGAAAATCCTTGCCAAGTTCATATGCCAAACTGATCATTGTTTCTAGCAATGGAGTATAATACCTGTGGCTGGTATGCACACAAAGGCATGATAGAGCTTTTTCTCCATATTCAAAAGCACTTGCAGGGTTTTCCAGGTCCTTGTGGCACACCACGATAGCACAGAGAGTAGGGACAATTGAGACAGGGTTGCCTCTCGTCAGCCTTTCCTGCAGACCAATGACTTCTAAAAGGATTTCCAAAGCTTTGGTGTATTGGCCACCCCGCAGGCAGCCATATGCTTCCTGAAGCTCCGGCCTTGTTAAAAAGTCAATAAATTTTTTTGATCTTCGGATATATTTCATAGAATATAGAAGTCTCAGGTAGTCCTTGAAGGCTAATTTTCTCTCATTGATTATTTCTTCTGTGAAGTTCCCTGTTAGAGTTTTTTTGGGAAAGGTCACATCTTCCATTTCTTCACTAAACTCCTCCAGCAGATTTCTGTGCAGTTTTTCAAAATCTGAATAACGCCGTTCAATTACAGACTTGTTGCTGTCAAAACTCCCTGTTTGCAAAATGATGATTTTATACATCTAAACACAATAAAACAGAAAAATAAGCATAAGAAGGACCATTCTAGCCCCAGTGCAGTCAGATTTTGTCTGTTATTGCTTTGAAAAAACTTTGTGCTTGTATATTCCACCAGCTGAAACCTTCCTGCACCAGTTTTATGTGTGTAATCTTGTATACTCCTATGGCTGATAGCAGTGCTGCTAAATTAGTTGCTGTCTGGGATTATGGTGCGTGCTCAGTGTAGGCCTGATCTTTGAAGTCTGCAGCCATCAAATTAATAATTTGCACCTCCTGCTGTTTTGTACTTTTGTCACCAGACTTAGCCTTAGCATGTAAATAAGTTGTAGATAAACAATGCACTAACAGATCTCATCCTGCAAGGTGCTGGGAATGGTGAACTAGCAGCAGACTGAAGCACGTAAAATCACTTATAAAGCATTTCTGTGGCTGTACTTTGTTTATAACAGCCATGGCTGCTGCAATCAATCATCTTCAGTGAACTGAATGGATTTCCCAGACTTAATATGGAATGTAATCTATTTTACATTGGTTGTTAATACTTAGAAATGTTGTTTGTATCAGACATTTCCAGGGATTTGGGGGTGTTATTAATGCTGTGAAAGAAGAGGAAGTATTTGGCAGTAAAGTTTGGTGTGTGCAAAAATAAGATGGAGCAACTCCAAAGCCTTTTTTCCCCCCTAAATCATTGTTCTGTTACTCAAACTTACTTGGCATATAAATAATGCAAAAAAATGTGACATTTCTACAACAATCTGTTTGCTATCCAAAATCCTTCACTAACAGCTAGCAGCAATGCTGTCCCACATTAACAGTACTCAAGAGTATGTCCTCCTCAGCTCTTCACTAGCCTCAAAATGGCTATAAGAAATGTGAGCCTAGAAAAATAGCTGCAAAATAAAATTGTGTGTTCTGTGTTGTACAAATAGATTCTCTTCTGGTCTTGATCCAAGCACAATGATGTTGAGGAGGGCCAAATCCCTAATGTGCATAAACCAGTGGAGCTCCACTGAGGCCAGTTTAACTATGTCACTGTACACCAGCTAAGGACATGGACTGTTGGCCTTGCTGGCTTTTGGACGATGACCGCGTTCACATTCAACTTCACCCTGTTCCCATTGAATTATACAGGAACTGGAGCAGTTTTACTCATGCCAGTTATTTTCTTTGCTGCTGTTGAAGGGTGCAAACCAGTACTAGCACTAGTGTCTGTCTGATTCTCTTCCTTGTTTTTCCTTAAAGAGAAATTCTCTCTTTTAATCTTCATAAATGATCTTTACAGGCGCTCCTTGAAAGGTTTCTAAATTTGAGCTGACTTCTCTGATCTCTCTTCGTTTGTAAGCACTGTGACATTTTCCTATACTTTGTCCTGCTCCCTGCTGAAAAGTGTATATATGCCTGATGCATATCCAAACCAATCATAAGAGCAATTTTTTAAGCTATCATTTTATCAAGGGCAGCTAAGTGAATAATTTACAAGTACTTTTTTTTTTATTTGTAGCATGTGCATGAAAAAGGGAAGAAATACCATTTAATTAGACTATCATTCAAATTGTCTCAATTTAGTTGTAATGTAAATCTTTTTGCCCAGGCGTGTAACTTAATGATTAAGTTTAACTACTTGCACATATGCTGAATGATACTCCTGATCTCATACAGTTATACTAAAATAATTTGTAATATTCAACAAGCTGCATACTATTGAGTGTATGCAAGAATGGCAGCATCTAAGTAGGTGTGTATAGCATACAATAAGATCTTAGGACAGTCTCCAGAATATTTACCTGCTCCAAATTCTGCCAGGCTGCATCACTCAGTATTAGCAACACTAGTATGACTCTTAGCATTTTTGATCTACAGACCTCAGAGGTTGTTGCAAACAAGGAAAACATCCCTATCTGAATTTAACATGAGTACTCAAAGTGACTTCCTCTAAATCAGTCCTCCTAAAGGCCAGGAGCAGAATCAGAAATAAAAACCAAGTGTCAGTACTGTGAGTAAAGACAGGAAAATCCAACCTCCTCTGCTGTTCCTGTCCCTCATATTCATGTTTCACCTTAAAAATATGACAGAAATATGCCATCTAATGGAGCTCTAGGTAGGGAAGGGGAACAATCCCAAGCGATCTATCTGGAAGATGCCTTAGACTTTGTCAACATCAAAGAATTTGCACTTGTGCTAACATAAATCTCTGATGTGGAAGTTATACAAATGTAATGCAGCTGCTACAGCAGGTTAGCTCAATGGAAGTGTAACTATATTGATATTTTTATACTTGTGTGAATTTCCTTAATGTTGACAAGCCTCTGGGTATTAAGGATACCCAAGCTACTAATTTACTTGATACCACTTTTCCACTGCTGCAGATTTTGTGAACTGATTGTTAGAGGGTTTTTTTAGGGGCAGATTCCACCAGCTATGCCCATATGATCAGTGAGAACAGGTTCTACTCGGTATGATCACTGCTTGCAAAACTTGGCCCTCGGTAAGGCTTTCATGTAGTGAGGCATGCTGTGTGCTGTGCAGACCCCCTGCAGAATGAATAAAAATTAATGATCTTCTTACATATTCATTTCTTAGCTTACCACATATTTTGATAAGTGGTGCTCTACAACTCTGGTTGATGGGATTTCAAAAAGGAGTTTGACTTGTCTGCACTGGCGTTTTTCATTCCTCCAGTATTCCTGAAGCTCCTTAGTGGTCATCGAAGAGTTGGGACTTAGGGATGCGTTGGAATCTAAAACCAATATATTTAGCGTTTCAGATTATGACCTTTGCATTTGGAAAGAAAACTCTTATGTGTTTACTGTGAAAAGAGAGCCTAGAATTTCTGTTACTGTAACAGCAAGACCTAAAGACTGATAAAACAAGTGGTTTCACTGTTAATAAAGACAGGTCCAGATTCTTTGAGGAAAGGTATTGTGGTCTTAAATTTTGAAAGACACCAAACTGGCTGCAGAATACAAAGTTATAGAAAAAATACTGACAAGAAGTATTGTATGTCTAGGTTGTAACCTCAGACACGGCCCAAGCAAGAGATATGCTTCACCATCCCAGAAGTAGCCTTAAGAAACACTGACTCAGTCTTCTGAATCAGATGCTTCTCCAAGCTTTTGTTACTAAAAGGAGGAGACAATACAATGCAGCTGCAAATTCAGACATATATTCAAATACTGACCCTATTCAAATATTGGGTTTATGTAGTACCCTGTGAAAGCTGAGAAAACTTGAATAGCCTAACCTTAAAGGAGAAACTCAGATAACCAGCTCAGCTGAAGGAGGAATTCTCACATCCTCTTTTTCTTCTGTAGCTGAACTGATGCCACAGTCCAGCTAGAAATATTTTATATACCTCCCTCCCTTCCTCTCTCTCTCCCCCCACAGTCACACACACACACACACATACACACACAAACATATATATATATATATATATGCATAAATAAAAAGGTAGGACAGCTGGTTGAAGAGTTTGCTTACAGGGGAATTTGATGTTGCTTTTTGAAAGGGTGATTTCTCTGTCTTTGAAATCTACTGACAACAGTTTTCATCTGGTGGCATATAGGCTAGCAAGGTGGATAAAAGAAATGGAATATTTGTATTTCAGTGGGCACACCAGTCCCAATTTCCAATCAATAAAGTCTCTGTCAATGCAGTCAGCTGAAGTCAGTCTGCAATGTATCTAACATTCAGTCAATGGAGGCGAGTGACTACAAATGAATGGGAAAATAACAGCTTGATGCAGAAATAGAATTGTAAAGGCACCAGAGTACTCCTTCAGTGGCCCTACTTTTACATGTTCTTCATCATTTGGCCATACAGTTTCCATTATCAAGGCCTTCGGGGTTTGGCTCATTCTCTACAAAGCATGTATTTCCTAAGAGAGGTGGTGTTTATGATATCTTTGCAGGCTGAAAATCTTGATGAGATTATATATATTTTGGATTATATATAACATTTTATTTAATAACAGATGACAGCCATCTTAGGCATAGTAAAAGTTCAATGCTGCCTCTTCATAAGGCATATGAAAGACTACTGCTTGAGATCAGCTTCAATCTCGGTGTCCTTGCTGATAATGCCAAGAAGTTCAGATTTTGAGATCTACAGAAAGTGCACTCCTGAGACAGGCCATCTGTTTTGGTCTCTGGTGTGTAAATTAAATCTGGAGTACATTTTAGGTGCAAGGCATTTAAAAGAAAAACTCTGTGTGTATGTATACACACCAGGATGTGCATCTGTTTCACTATTGCTACATGATTACTACAAGTTTAATCAAGGCTTATTTTCAGTGGAGTATAGCAGTGTAAAACTGGGCTACTGCTACAATAAATAAAGCTGAATTTTTAATATAAAAGATCAATGGCATAAATAGCTGCATGAAAAATAAAATTAAAGGATAGCATCAACCTTGCAGGTCATCTTTTTCTGGGTTTTCTTTTCTCACTTGACATGAAATTTCAGCTTTGGGTTGATTTAGTTCTTCATCAGATGGACTTGCAGTAGAAAATGTAGTAATCCTGCTTACAGCTTCCAACAGTTCCCTTTCTGCTGTGCAGTGCGAGTCTTGGTCCATTGCAAGCTATCCCTGAAAGATTACAAAAAATACGACATTTCTTAGTAGCATGTCTTTAGAGGATCCAGTCTGGTAATCTTTTTTATTGACTTACTCATTGTTCTCTGTCAACTTGTATGAGGGCAACTGTAGTTTCATAAAAACTAAAGTAATAAATAGAAATATCTACATAGCTACTAGTGAAGAACCATTCCTATTGCGATTGCCACTAAAAGTGTTTGGATATCTTTTTTGGCAGATTAAAATCAAACCTGAAAACTGTAAGAGGTTATGTTGAATATGATTAGTTGGGGAACTCCATTCTTATCTACGAGAATTTTGTCATAAACTTCAGTGGGGGCAGATTTTTTCTCCTTCTATTTTGCCCTCAAGCTTGCAAGTATGAGTTCAGATGAACTAAAATCTTGGAGATAATTAGTATAACTAGCAGCCTGGCTCTCTTCCACTGCTAGAATTTACTGTTCTTAAGACTCCCAAACTTGCCATCTGTTCTTAATCACAATCTGTAGGGCAAAATAGGGTGATATCTAAAATAGTATAATATTTTTGTCTTATTTCACAGTTTCAGGTGCTCTCCAGAGACTTGTCTCTGTACTGTGAGAAAACAACTGAATCTGACAATGGCTAGGTGGAAGGAGAACTGAGTTTTCTAATTATTATACAGATGCATTCTCCCTTTACTTGTCCTTTTAATCTGTATACTGTGCTTGTAGTAGATCTGTATGCCTGTTCTGCTAGGACTACTATTTTACCACATACTGATAAAATGCCTAACACAATATACTCCTATTCCATAGATCAGATTGGCCATTCTGTCACATAAATGTCTCCCCAGGATGTTTTTTTTTATTTTAAAAACAACCTACCTGTTACATCATTGTGTTATACTAGCAGTTGAAAAAATTCTAAGAGCATCCTAACAACTTTGCTGGGGTGCTGCGTTCTGTTAGTTAGCATGAGAGAAGTGTTGCTCACAATTCAGCCAACAGGTGAAAGTCAAATAGAATAACAACCTACTCTTAAAAAAACCCAAGTCTCCCCACTCCAAATGTAAAAATAATGCCCAAGCAGTGGTTATTAAGTAATGAGAGGTTTTAGGACACGGATGTTACTAGATATCATTTTGCTTCCACTTGTCTACCACACAGTTATGCAATGCTGGATACAGAGGTGAGGAAACTCCTGCAGCGGACCTATTGATAACTGGCAAACTGCAAGGCTGTAAAAAGAAAAGCAATTACTTTCCCCATTAGAAGAAATGGAAGTGCAAACCACGTTCCTGTAACAGAAACCCTTCCTTTGCCTGGCTTTGATAAGCAAGTACATACCTGTTGTCATCCTCCTTAATAAGAGCATCATAGAAGCCCTTCTTTTTGGACTTTGGACAAGGACGTGAAAGTTCTCACTGTTCTTCTAGTCCTCCTTAAGATCTGCTTTTTGAACATTATGAATAGCCACTTACTTCTTGTCTAACTGCTCAGTCTTTTGAAAATCATGACAGTTTATCCCAAGAGCATAAACTTGCAAATATTTGTTTTTAATGTAAAGATAATCTCAAATACAGTAGATTAAATGAGGAATCTGAAAATGGCCGAACAAATTCAAATGACAACTTTTTTCTTGGTTGTGAGTTGGTACAACCTTATCAGCAAAACTGTATTTATATTCAAGACCTAAATCTTTTTATATATGTGTAACTTTATATGCATAAAATATGTATGTATAAAAAACTACCACTTTAAAACATGATTTACCAGAGAAACACAACACACTTGTAAACAGAAGAATGCAGAAGTGAACGTTATGATATACAAGTCTTCTGCCTGGAATATATCTGACTTGAAAACTATCTGTACTTCATATATGCAGTTTCATTTTCACAGCTAAAAATCATTGTAAGCTCTTTTAACTAAACTACTATTTATTTTTACATATTAAAAAAATCCCAAACAATACAAAAACTCTGCAACAAATTACAAAATTTTACTTTGAACAGACACTGATCCTTCTCCATTTCAGGGTAAATGCCCCTCCAACTGCTTCACTGAGTTGTGAGTAACTCTAGAAACCGAAGTGCACAGAATACTCGCCTGGAAACTGCTGAAGAGCTTTTAGTTGTGGTGCACGTGTAGCCTGTACGAAGTCATGAAAAGCCTTCCTCGCATTTTCAAAACGCAGAAAAATATGTCTGTGTTTTCTTCTAACAGGCACATTCTGTGTTTTACAAAAAGGAAGGAAGAAGCCTTGATTATATCAGACTTCCTCCTCCAATTGGCTCACTGGTTCAGTGCTGACTGATTACGCATGAAATTTCCTATCTGCCTCGAACAGCCCTTGTGCTGTCTGCGGGCGAGGTACGGCCTGCTGTCCGCAGTGCAGCTCCAGCAGCAAGGGCAGGTTTGCAAACCCGAGTGTCAGGATTACACGTGCAATCACAGTCTGGCAGAGGAAAGAGTTCAACGGTAAATACAATTACAAAATCAATGCAAACTTCTCTGTGTGGATTTCTGAAACAAAAAAAAACACACTTAGCAAAAGAGAGATTAGGAAAACAGAGCCAAATATGTAAAAATGTACTTATGTGGAAAAACACGCCCCTTGGGACATCTTTAAAATACAGACTTAACATCCAGTTCAGAAAAGAAAATGCAGATGGTACCACAATAAATAGCCTCACTCTATGTAAACTTGTACTTCTGACAGAAATCCCGATTTCACATAGTGCTTAAACATATGATTAATTTCAAGTATCTGCTTAATTAAAGTTCAAAAAGGAGCATTATCGTATCTGACATGACTACTAAACTTGAAATGGGCTTATGCATGTGCCTAAAATTAATCCTGTCCTTGAATTCTTTGTTGCACTGAGGACAAAGTGAAGGAGAATGACGCTTTAACCCACATGTTCTTTGGCCCAGATGCTTCCTTTTGCAGTTCACTTCACTTTGGAAATTTGCTTTAAAGCATCAGGATAGCTATTTCTGGGGTAAATAATATGGACGCTATCTTTTTTTTTTGGTAATGTAAGTTTCCCTATTGCCAGTGCTCACTCGCTGAAAAACCAAGCGATTTTAATGCAGCACAAATGTGGGAGGCAAACATCCAAAGGACCACGTGGGTCCTGCCCCACGCATTCCTTTAGAACAAATAATTTAAAATAATGTAAAACCAGGGCCATAAACTGGCAATGCTTCTCTTCTGCTTTATTTGCAACATAAAACAATGCCAACTTTAACTTGGACTCAGTCTAAATGTAGAAATTTTGCCAAAATAGCTGTCAGAATGATGAAAAATCACTCCCATGCAGCTACAGCCATACTGGCAAAGCCCTAGTGTAGATGCCGTTATATTGGCAGCATCCTTTAGCCAGTTTAGCGTGTTCCATGTGGAAAGTGATTTAAGTTACACCAGAAAAGAAATCTGTGCTTGCCAATACAGCTCTAAGGTGTAGCTATACCAGCCAACCCTTTTAAGTGTAGACAAGGCACGGGTTTCTGGCTCAAGTCTCATTCCTTTAAAGTTAGATTTATGGGTTTGGTTACAATTGTGAGCAACAAGTAAGGGGGCTTTCAGTGTATTTCACTCACGCTGACACTTCACAGATGTATCTAAGCTTTGAATTCTGAATCTGTTAATTTATGTGTTGCCAAAAAGCAATGTATTATTCTGTGATGATTAGTGCTATTCTCCTGCTCTTGATAAAGCTAAAAGAAAGGAGGGAAGTATATTTTTCAGTATATTAAGTATAACCTCTACTTTCAATTATTTCAGAATAAGCTAAGTCCTAGTCAAATTAACCCAGATGATTATAAAAAAGCAAAATCTCTTATTATGAGCATGGCTGACAGATATGAAATAATTTACAAATCAAGAGTGTTCTGCAAGAATTCTGTCTGCCTCAGTCACAGAATGGGTTCCTCATGCCCAGGAGCTGTAACATCCACAGCAGGTTTGGCAGGCTGCTCCTCTTCATCCTACTCCCATGAGCTCAGGTTTGGTCCAGACAGCCCCTGGCCCTTCCCTGGAACCCAGTGTGGTTAGTCTGGCAGCATTTTCCTTTCCTAAATGTCTACTTGATTAGCACATTCGAAAAAAGTCTACAGTATACAGTGGTGGTTGGTAGCAGAATGCATAACTAGTACCTTTCTTTTCATATTCTCAGTTCCACCTCCAACAGCCAAATACTGTGTAAAGGGTTAAGCAGTGGAAAAAGGAATTTTCACAATGGCAGCATTCTGAGAGATGGGCAAGTGCACTTACACCATCAATTTATCTGACTGTTCATACAACTGTGGTAAATTTTAATGGAAAAGCATGTTCTGTCATAGTCAGTGATGGAAAAGGGATCCTCATGCACTAGCCCACTCAGAGTTTGTATTCTGTGAAAGCACTGACTCTGTCTGGCATACACACAGAGCACAGTGTTAAAATGCATCTACCAAGGGATATGGAAAAAGTGCTCTACAATAACATAGGAGCAAGGCAAGGTTAAAATCGTAACACTGCAGTGCATAAAGCTGGTTGTCATAGGAGTTAGGTCCTCCATACTGATTTAAGATGAAAGGACTCATTTTAGGAAGACTAACCTGAGAGTTTATGTCTAAAACTTGGTAACCAGCCACCAGATGAGCTAGCCTTGCGATGGATGCCGTGTTAAGGATGCCTGTATGGAAGGACCATGTTTGTGCTTTTGATGGTTAAAGAACCAGAAGGGACTGCTGCAATACTATAAAACATCCTGCCTTGATTTATACCCGGATTTGGGCAGTTCACATTTTCCCAATCAGATTACATAAACCCAGACAGACACAATATTTAACCATAGAACACAAAGCTGGTAGCAGCTTGAAAAATTGTGGGTTAAACTAATGTTATATACAAACTGCAGTTCACTGCCAGATTTTATTGGCATTTTATTATAGGCACAGCAAGGGCTTACTCTTGTTAAAGAATGTGGCTGTAATACCCCTCTTACAAAATACTCTTCAGCTCCTGTCCTGAGAAATACAGCTTTAGGCAGCCTCATACAGTCTGTCCTGCTTTTCCCTCTCAGGCCCCAAACTATGTAACTAAGCCTTATTTATTTTACCAAATCATTCATGAAAACTGTAGATAATGAGAAAAAACAAGAGGAGGCAGGAATACCTAACATATTTATCCAAGTCCCCTTTTATCACATAACTAATATTTAGGAAGTGCTGTAATGTTGTCTTTGATGCTTCTACAAGAACCTTTCCTCTCTTTTTTTTAGTGCAGCCGGATAAATACCTACCATTTCCACGTCTGAAGTAGCAGAAAAATTCAGCTGTTCTGCATGAATATTCTGCACTTTTGGGGTGATGCTGTGATGAATACCATACTCCTATCCTGGCACAGCACAAAATTCTGTTCCATGCTATTTATGTAATGTTTAATTGTATGATGTTGTGTCATTTAAAAGTGGAATTTGTTTACCATACTTCATTATTACAAAACATGTCTCTCTTAACAAGAGTGTGGTTTAAAGAAATAATTCACTGTTTAATGGCAAATATCTCATGCTGGTGTTACTGACAGGCTTTTCCACATGAAAGAAACGTCACAGGCCCATTTTACACTGCCAAAGCCCTGTTATCACTTTACAGCTCCTTTATACTTCTAAAGGAGTATGAAGGAGCTTTAGAGTAAACAACAGTCTTGGCCTGCCTTTCATCTGCGGTCTCAGTGACACAGAGCTGTAAGGCAAGCCCAGTGGGTCAATAGGATATTAACTTGGGTTAAATTTCACAAGCATTATTCTGTCTGTAGAATGACAGACTTTCTAAATGGTCTACATCAGTCATTTTTCCTGCTGAACTCATAGAGGGTTAAGTACATAATTACATGGACTAGAGAAATATTTTTAAACATTTGTTTTTGAGTTGTTAGGTATACCACACGTAGTCATTCCTATCTAGTATTTTGGTATTTTAGTCTTATAATGTGTCTGTCCCGTTTTCTTCTCAAACATAATTACGGTGTACTTAGGCTAATACTTACAGTCACGTTGCACGTGTAATTTATTTATATCCAAAATGTAAACATTATGAAATTTGGATAACAGGATTTATAGCAGACATGCTAATGCATTTTGTAGTAGCATAAAAGGCAGCCCTACAAATGGAGGAAAATGCAGCTGCTGTGTATAGATAGCCACCTTGAGGATTAGCAGAGCATAACTCGGGTTTACTGCGTGCCCTTCTGCAAAATGAAGACATGTAATGCATACATCTTTGTATCTTTTCACTACTCTTTATTCTTTAAAAATTAAGTATGACTTCAAAGTACCATTTTGCTCTTAAGTGATTAAATAAAATGGTTAATGTGAGCATTCATTCCGTAGTAGATGGAATCTCATTGTTTCCTCAGGAGCTTCCAGGAAACTCCTGCTGGTTTCTGACACTCAGACTGTGTCCTTTCCAGCTGCACATACGCACGCCAGCAAAAGCCTGTGTCGTGCCGTCCCATCTTCCTACCAAAAGCCACGGCAGCGACACACACTGCTTCAGGGCCCGGAAGCCGGCACTCCAGCCCGGATCTGGGGCTGCATTGGATCGGCTTACTGAGCGTCTCCAGATTCTGGAGATCCATAGGGAACAGGATTGACTGGAGCAGCCTTTACTTTAGCTAAGGTTGAACTGCACATGTTACTGAATTACATAAAGACATGTATTAAAGGAATGTTAAAGATGCTAAGAAACTAAGAAAGCGTTTATTTGTACGTCAACACCGTTGTAACCACCTGAGGTGCGTGACCTATTATTTTCGAAGATGCATCTTTGTAGGAAGTCCATTTCTAGCAGTACAAAACTTCTGGAGTGTTTTTAAAATTAAATGTAAGGCACCAGTTTAGAATACTATGTGACTAAAAAAAACTTCTCTAAAAATGAATGTCATCTTCTGGAAACGCTGAATGCGTGAATAGAGCCTTTCAACATAACCACCCTGCTGAGCAACCCTTTTCTATTCTGGAGCTCATTCTCTCGTTCATTATTTAAGAAGAGCTCACTCCATATAAAAAGCACTGATGCTAAGTGGATAAAATAGAGCAGCATTCAGGTAGCAGTCGCGTTCGGAAGTAGGTCGGTTAAAGAGGAGCTACACGTGGCTTTTACCAAATCAAACGTTCAGCAGCGTTACTTGCATTTCTCGAGAGTAAAAGTGTTTCGAAACTGCGTACGGAAGCCAGATCAAGCCTGACAGTCACGAGCAGTCTGTAGGTAACCCTACAGCCGCCCGCTGCACGGGGGA